TTCTACCTTAAATAAGACGGGTCACAGGAACAGGTGAGACGTGGCCTGTTAGTTGGCATTCTAACTTTGTGACACAGTGGTTTGGAGTCAGAAGACCTGCCAGCATACTGAAGAGAAGGTTCTGGACTTTTAACTCAGCCTGATCTTCCTGTCGGTCAGACTTTGGACATTAGATTGACAGCTGTAGCTTGACTGTCAGTATTAATTTCAGTGACACCCTCTCACATTCACATCTAAGTCATGGCTTCTCAGGACAGGGGAATACACAAGAATTTGCCCCGGGTGTTTTTTTGTCAGATGTTTACAGTTCTGGAGAAGACACAAGCTTGACAAAATACACACTTTCTTAGATTCACATTTGTAGACTTTAGCCTCTAGTTCTAGGTTTGTTCCATACAGTCCCACCTGTTGACCTTCTGTGTAACTTCATGAGCTAGTAGTATGTCAAAATACTGGCCTTATATATTTTATTGACTCTGCACTACATAGCACTTGGCCTATTCCTATACGATCCACTCTTCGGTAAAAGACATGCATTTTAAGACGAGCATTTTGGAAATAGCCAGGGAGGTTTTAGATGAAGATGTAAGCAGCGAAAACATTAAAAGAGGCCTGCCTCGAATGCTAATGGAAACAGACATGACAGCCTAGATTCCTGTTCCTCTAGAGGAAGCAAAAATAGAGCAGAGGGGGTAAGGGGGGGGGGAATCGAGGTCAGAGAAAGATTGCTGTATCCCACGTGACGGACAATATTTTTTGGACATTTTTCTCAAGATATATATATTTTTTAACAAGGCCAAGAATATATCCCCTCGCCTCTTCTGCCGCATGACATAAAGACACTTTCAGAGAACATTATCTTATTAATTTAACTGGAAATTGTGCAAGGGCATGTTTGCAAAAGTATTTTTTACTGTTATGTAAGTTTCTCTTTCGTGGTTTTTTTATTTATGTGTTTTTCTTTGTAAGTGACACTATATAAAAAAAACAATAATCTACATTCAATTAACGCTGACAGTTCTATTTTTTTTTTTATCAATGGCAACTATAAATGCAGTGTCATTATCAGTGAAAACTGTATTACATATGATTAGGATTCTTCAGGTCTAAATGTATTTCAGGGTTTATATGAGGTGTTGAGTTGTATCTATCACCAGGGGGCGACATAAAACAAAATGAGTGGGATTTTTTTGTTTCCTTAGCATTTAATGCTTCTAAATGATCATTATTGTTGGGGTATCAATGGTTTCCCTCTGGTCTTGTAAATAATCGTTACAACAAAATACCCTGCAAAACATTGAGAGAGATTTTACAAACCTATTATGAATCTAAAAGCATCGGATTTGATTTTTCCACACAAGCTTGCGATGACTGAGGCTCATACTGTACATTTTACTACCCTGTATTATCTTTAAGACTGTATTACTAACCCTAACCCTACTTCTTTTAGTATTTTATTGTTTGTTTCAAACCCAGTGTTTTGAAATAATGTTGTGCTTCCCCTGCAGTACATTTTTATTGATTCAGATGGCAAATAGCACATTACAAATGTATGTGCTGTCAAGGAGTCGACTAGGCATAAATGTAGCTAGGCTGAGCACCCAATGAATGCCCAGGTAAAAGTGTAAGCAATATTGGAGCCAGAGCTACACAGCACCTTGCAAACAAAACAAGAAAGGAAAAAGGTCTGCATAACCTTGTGGCTTTCACAGTTGATCCGAGCCACGGCTGGGATTTGAATCCAGGATCTCCTGTTTACTTGGTAGCCCTGATAGCCAAAAAACCCACAGCAACCCCCTCCCAGCGTAACAGCAAAGCAAACTTTACAGCAAGTAACATGTCAGAGTTAACCAGCTATGTTCAGCTGGACTTGGATTGGTACTAGCCACCGGACTGGATCCAGCTACATGCTACTGAACGGTCTGAATTCCATTCTCTTCCAGAAGGACAGGACACAACTAGTGTCACAATCCCAGTCCTGGTAAATTCAGGGAGGTATACTTGGGGTTTACAGCCCAGCCTGTTGATAATTACAGCTGGTGGGGTTTACACCCCCTTGGATCTCGAAGAAGAAGAAGAGCTGGTAGCCAATCACCAGCAAACAAAGATATATTACAGTTTAAAATGTATGTGTGTTGGTGGGGGGGGGGGGGTGTAATCTCTCTCATGTTCATATTCAGTGTTCATTCACTGGCAGTAGGTTATTTAATATTATCGTTTATTCAACTTGATAATAAATGAATAAGCATTTATCTCATTAAGGTTTGAATAAGCATTTGTCTCGTTGACAGATACAGGACACAGTTCCAGTGCTGACCTCTAATGCCCAGGTCACCTGAAGTGCATGTCTTACATGTGTGGGAGGAATGTGTGCAGAATCCAGTAGGAGGATGTGCAAGTTCCTCATTCAGAAATTCTTATCTGCAACCCTGGAGCTGCCGGCCATGTCACCGAAAACTACATTTAGCTACAACTATGGCCATAACAAACAATGCATCTAACATTAATCATCAAAAAAAATAATAAATAATGCGAAAGATTCTGCATATATTACTCCATGTGTCCATTTATGACTTTTCGTCTGAGGATCTTCTCAATTGGGATTGAATTCAGCCCACCTGATCTGCAATATGTCTAACCTAATATTGAAAAAACACCAAACACTAAGACTGCACTGCTCAGCGCTATATATCTTTTCTAACAGTCTTCTGCTACATTTGTGACCTTAGGACCCATTCCAGTCATAGTGGTCCTTTCACACACGTGGTGCGTCCTCGGTGATCCCAGTGTGCCGCTTGCAATCGTGCTACAATACATCACTTTCCCATGAGTTACTGTTACGCGTTTGCTCTCTGCCAGATGTCTGCATAGTCATGGCTTCATCTTGTATTACAAACCCCCCTTGGCTGCCCCCAGCGCCACATGCTAATGCTGTATACGCACATCCAGCTCAGCATTTTGTCCTCAGGTCCCCCGAGTCCAACGTCTGTCCTCACGTCTCTCTCCTTGTCATCCGTCCACGCGTCTGTTTCATTTGTTTTCCCTACTCATTTATGTGACACTTCTATGAAATCACAATGTATTTTTGGCACTTCTGAAAGTATATTAATTCTTTTTTAACCTGCTCTTTTCCCCCCCGGTCATGTACTCGGAGTTTGCACATATTCCAGTTACTCATCAGCGTTCACGGAAGCTTTTAAAAGTTTTACGCGTGAATTATGTATGCCTCTTGATTTTTACTTCACATTCCAACTAACTTCATGTATTTTTTATAGTCAGAGTATTTTGCTGTATTTCCTGCTCTTTATTTGATATTAAATCCTCTTTAGATATTCTTCCATACATTTTGTGCTAGATACCTGAAACTTTCCCCAACTGTGTTATAATCGTGCTGTGATTTCTTCACCTAACCAACGGAGATGAGCTCCAGGGATTCTGCAGCACAGATGAGTGTGCAGTACCAGCCCAGACCCAGACAGTGGGCATGTGGATTCAGGTCCCTGCCTGACAGCCGTGAGGTTTTGTTCAGCCTGCTTATAGGTGTCCTGCTCCAACCTAGAGAGAGTGACACACAGGTTGGACAAGTGGCACATCACATGACTGTTCAGATTAGTTCATAATTATCCAAATTCATAAACGGTTGACAAATTGACCTGGCATGTGTACGTGTGCTCTCTGTGTTTATTTTGGTAAAGTACACTTGGAATTTACGTCATTCACAGCCGCATTAAACAATGTTGTCTTCCGGATGGTTATTATAAGAATAATTATTATACGCGATAATCAAAACAACATTATAATGATGACATTTCCTTGACTAAACTTAAGAACCTAGTTTTTTTTTTTTATTCCGGAGTCATTTCGCTTATAATCACATTGACTTATAGCATAATGAAAATGAAGTCCTTCCTTAACGAGATAGCCTTACTAATTGTTAATGAATTTGAAGGATGCAAAATGACGTCTTCTTCATCAATGGTCCCTTTGTTACCTGTCTGCTATCTACTCAGTGTACTTATCTGCTCAGGGGCACAGAAATGGAAGTAAGCAGGGACACTATTGGCTCAGGGGCGATAGGATCGACGTAAGTACTTCCATACGAGTCTTATCCTCTCTATCGCAGCATGCGGATCTGCTAGGCAGATCTCTGGCCCCGCTCCGTATTGTATAACTTCACGGTTTATGGTTTTGAGACCAAAATGTAATCGTGGTACATGATAAGACCACATTTAAAATTCAGTCGAAGTTACTAAAGCTAATGATTGCAGCATGGACAATGGGGAAGAATATACTTCAACAGATGCGGTGCTTTTTCTGGGAACCAGCTGGCAAATACAATATTTATACGTTGCAGCCACGGAGCATAAAACATTGTTACTCAAGATTGTTTTAGTAGATACGTGTAAATACAACGATTACGACTCTACATAGGCTATTCGCTTGGTGAAAATCACTGTCAACTCGACAAAGACCAGCCCTGGAGTCAAAGGATAATTAACTTTAAATCAAAGGCCATATCAATATTTGAAGAATTTGTTAAATGTACGCATTTTTTCTGGAAGAGACCCTGCTGGATCTTCACTATGTTTTCAGCAGGGAATGACTCTAGTTCTGGTATTTTTCTTGGCTTACCCTACAGAATTCCATGTGAGTTTGAGAGAAATATTTGGGAGCAGTTGAGTTGCATTTAAAGATAATAAATAAAACTTTTAATGCCCTGTTCCTTTGTTAATTTCTTCTTCTGCTTCCCAAACCCTAATACGATTATAGGTAGCTCCCCTTTGGTTATTACACACAATGGTTTGAGCGTAGACTCCTGCCCACATTTTAAAGATCACTGGCTAATTGGCAATGAATGAAGTGTGTTTTACTTTCCAGACACAACAAACAAGTGATTCAGATTCACTTAATCTCATTTAAGAACCACGCATATGTGCCATACGCTGTCAACGCAAAACATCAGAATCTCCTTCAGCACATTCAACACGTCTCATCCGTCATATCAGCCTCTGGGTTTATTTTGATCACTTTCCAAAATGCTTTGGCTCCTGTTCTTTAATTCCTCAGACCTTACAAGGCAACCGCAGGCATCCAAGTAATATTCAACTGTTGTTCTGTCATGTTTGAGCTCAACTCTACATTTCTAATAAGAAGGATAGCATAAATACACAAGATTTATTCTTAGAAAACACAACTCAAGGAACTTTTACATTATAAGATTTATCTGATTATCTGATCAGTTACATACTTGGTCATTTGACACCCTTGATTGTGTAACAAAGATAATAGTAAGTTATTGTTTCAGTATTATAAAGTGCATAAAAGTTATCATGTAATAGTGTCTTCCCCAGAATAGGTAAGTAATACAGGCCTAATCAGGCCTAAATTCACATGTTTGGAGGATTCATCATCACACAGTAACAATTACCATAATTAAGAACATACACGATTGTCAGAATTACCATTAAAAAAATCATCTTCAAAAGTGGAAAGGTTGAAATTCGACACACTCAAGAGCAGACAGTCCAGTTATAAGCAATATTAGGAAAAAATCTGAAAACTGCTGAAATTATGTGACTGAAATTATTACGCACATTGGAATCAATGAAACTTACAAAGAAAAAGCCTTACTACATAATCTTACTATTCAGTATAATACTTTATGCAGTGTGTTGAGTCGCAACATGGCATTAAAAAAATAAAAGAATATAAATTACTAATATGTTGACAGATCATCGCACTTGGACATAAACGCCATATACTTACAATGTGTCACACAGAAAAACACGGTGGTAACATATGAAAGAAAACTGTCTTGATATGCATATATTGTACAAGAAGTAAATTTATAAAAAAAAAAAAAAATGTTGGTCACATGGTGCTCATGCAGTCTATTTGTAAAAACACATGGGCTTGATGTAGAGGGGAAGGTGATGGGGTGGGGGTTGCATTATGGGGCCATAAAATTGCCGCAGAACCACGGCCAACGGATGAAATCATCATGCGACCGGCATTGAGCCTCTCACAGCACCGTCAACATCAGAAAATATCGCTGCTCCAGGCCACGTCGGTTAATGCACATCTCCATGGCTACAGACGACTGACAAAGCACTGTCCACACATCTCAACTGCTGTGAAAAGCACTGACTGGATTTTCCCATGTTTGGTTATGGAGTGAAATGTCTTGTTCACCTCAAAGACAGAGTTTGATCATCGGTTGAAGACCTGTTAAAAGAGAGTCTAAGACATGGTGGCACTGGATTTTTGTAGATTTGTTGGGGGGGGGGGTAGTGTACTCTGTCTCCAGGGTACTGTCCTCAGTTCAGTTTCCCACCAGCAGACCGGTAAATTCCAGGAGCCCGGCGGTTCATCGGCTGCCTGCCTCAGAAGTCTGACGGGCGGATCATCATGGTGGTGGAGCGCAGGGAGTAGCTGGGGCCTCGGAAGTGATGCCACTTGATGCCGTTGAGCTTGCGGATGTTGTGCCCCACTGTGTAGTACATGCCATTGAGGTTCGAAAGGCCGCAGGCATCGAACCACCAGCCTGAAAGAGGAACACGCCAGCTAAACAGACAAAATTCGGCACACAAATCCCATGTGGGTCTCTCACTAGGTCATAATTAAAACAGTCCGACAAACAGCTTAGTGGGGTTCTAGGGAAAATATTTGAGTTGTTAGTAAGGGCTCATAATGTTCAGCAAAGGAAATGAATAACATGAAACTCATGTTTGGCAAAAGATGCAAATTTGTACCCAGTGAAATTTGTCAGATTTTACATGATGGAAAATGTGGGCCAGTTTAGCAATGGATAAGATTCTAGGTTCAACTCCTGGCTGGCTTGAGTCTCTTCCTGTTGGGGGTGAGTGTGGCTCAGTGTATTAGGACACTATGCTTGTAACTGGAAGGTTGCTGTTTCATGCCCCTTGGTCATCAGACTGATTTTAGTGTTGGGCCAAGGCCCCTAACCCCCAATTGCTCCAGAGACTGTCTGACTCTACCTTTTCAATTGTATGTCTCTTTGGATAAAAGCGGCTGCTAAATAAACATAAATATCTTCAAAGTACAGAGATAAAAGCAGGCGTCATCTGAGGTAATCCTGTCCAAGGTTTGGCACCTAAACCTTGGAGTCCCAAGAAGAGCATGTGAGTTGTTTCAACGTCCCTTCTTGGTCTATTTTTGCTGGTGTTGGGATCCAGTTACCCTTCACCATCACTAACCTCTCTGTTTTTTTTTACTACACTCACGCCTGCTGAGTGTGAGTGTAAGTCGTGCTTTTATTTTCAAAGCGTTTCATGGGTCAGCGAGGGGAATGCAGTATACGCAGGGCGGAAAGGCATGACCAGCCGTTCTTTGGTCTTTCACTATCCTTTCACTCAAGCCCTGTTTATTTTGGATCAAATATGTCAGCCACCTATTTCAGAAGCTTTTTCAGCTCGTTTGCGGTTCTTCAAACACTGTTATTTGTTCTGAAATTATTTTCAAAAGTCAATGTACAGTTATTTCATGGTCAAGTAAATGCTCGGAGTATCAGACATTCAAAGTAAATAGCTGTACGCTTAGAAATGTTTGATCATCTTAATGTGCTTCAGCAATGAAGTCTTATGATTGAAGTCTTGCTACTTAAAACTTGTGTTATTTTACCTTTATCTGCCTAATCTGATCTCTTAGAGAAAAACTGCTTTTTTAAAACTTACTTTTGGTGTCAATTATCACTTTCATCCTTCTGCTGGAGCTACATTCAAGAGCTAAGCTTTTACTCGAGAAAAATATGACATTTGCATCTGGCATCAGAACATCTGGAAAGAGAGAAAAGTCCCTCAGCTTAACGAGAGCTATCACTTTCGCTGCTGTTCTTTTTCACTTGTTTTGGGCTCAGGTTCATCATCCCTGTTTATTATAGAAAGCAGGGCACAGGGTATGGCTTCCTTGTTACAGCTGATGGCTATTGGTCACATTGCGAGTCACATGGTACAGGAACATTGCATCTTTCCATGCACCTGACAAATCCTCTCTCCAATAGAAGAATCCAAAATTATGCCTGTTGCTATGGAGCCTCCCAGCTGCAATTTTAGTATGACACCCTTCAGCTTTCTGTTTTTACGTCAGTATTTCTATTTGCTTAATGTTGACCAGAGGGAACAACTTAACCTAGCTGAAATGTCAAATTACAATGGGATGTAAGTTTCAACAGTGTTTTTCATAAAGGTGGTCATGGCTTACACTGATAGGGTCTTAATCAGTGCTTTCGGATTTTGGTATCAGATAAGAATCAGATTTGGTGGCTTTACACTAGTTGACACCATATTATTTATTAACTTAAAGGTTATATTTATCAAAATTCATATACAATAATAATAAAGGAAAAATTCCTTTTATACAGTATGCTTGTATTCTGTATGTGTAGGATGTTCATAAATCAAAACTAAATATTTTAAAAAGTGATTTGCTTGTGTTCCCCTGGGATCAATAAAGTATATCTTATCTTAATAGTAAAAGTTAACCAACAGGGAAAATCAGCGGCAGCTAACACGACACTGAACAGCTGCTGCAGCGAATTTAATTTCCTCAGCTTGAAAGTTAATCAAACTTCATGTCACTGAAAATTACAAAAATATGTTGGTCTTAAATATGATGAGGGGCCAGAGCTGTTTCCATACCTCCAGTCAGCATGAGGGCGCACTTGCAAAGGCAGTTGTCATGGTCAGAGTCACGAGTGCTGAAACTGGTGCCGTGGGCTGCCAGACTGCTCTGCATCCCAGCTGTTCCACTGTAGCCCCTCAAGAACAGCCTAAAGACATCGCAGAAGGCATTGAACACACAGTCGTGCAAATCCTATAGCTTATGTGTTACTCCTATAGACCTGGATTTCCGGTAAATGTAATACACAGGTAAACTGCACTGACATCTAATTTTCTGTGCAATTAATGACCGAGGTTTGTATACCACAGCTGCTGAATAGTTAACATAATTTTGCTTGTGACCAAAATGACATAAAAGATACCCAGAGCTCAAAATGTATAAAGAGAAGGGATCTGTGGAATAATTATGTATCACATTCTGTTCCAGTCTAATAACCTCATCTTTTAGGCTTGAGGCCATATACAAACATGGCATTTGATTTTCAGTACAAAGGAGGTGATGAGCATTGCAGAAAAAATGGATTTGGGTCAAATATCCATGTCTGCAAGCCTGTGCTTGTGTTGGGGGCAAGGATGACTATCCAGTGTCGCACTGCACTAATTGCTGTTCTCTGCAGCTGGAGCCAGTATGGCTACTTGGGCCTGGCTGAGCCGTGCTAATCACATCATCTAGCTCGACGAGCCAGATAATGCGCAGCTCCGTTTCCTGAGCTCGCAGACTGCCGGAAGGCTTTCCACTTCGCTGGAAATTCTCTGCTTCACTGACAGGTGAGAGGTCATTCAAAAATGTGGCTTGGAAAACCAGAGGAAAAATCACAGGTGGAAGAAGTCAATGTCATTTCAAGAGCTGCAGTCAGCACTTTTCCAGCAATCCTGGATAAAAGCAGGAAGTGCTCATCCAGCGAAGACTTCATGGAGCCTTTTTGTTGTTTTTGGGATATAAACGGTGGATCAGTTGCAGATCCATTTGGAAATTCAGAGAACTATTTGTATGTCACATTGATAACACCTGATAAAATCATCCATCTGCCTTCAATGATCACTCGTCTAGCAGAGTCATCATGAGCTTACAGTCTATCCCAGGAAGCAAGAGGAGACAACGCGGGCAGGATGTCAGTCCATCGCGGGACACACACAGCTGTGGCTGAAGAGGAGGAATCCGGAGGAAAGCGAAGGTGGTAGAACGTACCGGTAGTGCTGCTTCTCGTCACCCAGCTGAAACTTGTCGTAAAGCGAGTATGGCGAGTTGCCCTCCCAGTCCTGCAGCTCCACCCGCAGCGAGTACTGCGGCTGGCTGGTCGCGGTCATCCTGAACACCACCTCATTGCCCAGCCAATGCTCCCCAGCAACATCACCAAAGCCCTGTGTTTTTCAAAGAACGACTCTGTCAGTTCTTAAATATGCAATTGTTTGATCACCCACAGCAGCATATGAAGTATAAATGAGGAATAATGACCACAGCAAAGCATTTCACATTAAACTACACTTATGGGCCAATTTGTTAGGTTCACCTGCTTCTCCAAACACCAAATCATGTGACTTCAACTGAATACACACACGTGCAGGCAGGGTCAAGAGGTTCACTTCCTGTTTGGCTAAGGATCAGAATGGCCAAGGTGAACAATCCCAGCGATTTTGAATGTGCTTCCAGCCTGTCAGAAACAGCCCCCTTCCTGAGATTTTCACAAACTGCAGCGTCTAGAATTTACTGACCATGGTATGACAGACAAAATCCATCCAATCTGGGGCGGTAAAGGAGAATGCCCAGACCTGCTAAAGCTAACAGTGGTGTATAGCTTCTGAACACATCTCTTGTCTACTATTGAAGCTGTTTTGGAGGCAAAAGTTATTTCTACCTAGTCCTAGCTAGGCATACCTAATGAAACAGCCACTGCATAACACTGTATTAAAATGGGCATAACCTTCACGGAAATGGTTCATAGTGGGGGGTGCAATGGAGGCAAGTCATGAAAGCTGTAACGTTGTAAGAGCCTTAATATTTTCTTAATATTACCGTTACTGTTGCTCACACATAAGTAAACCTTTGTCTTACATGCACTGAACCTTAACATCACCACCGTCAAATGAGTCAACGTCTGACAGTGTGCTCATCATCACACTCGCTAGCTTTAACAGTCCTGCGTTCAGGGAGTAATTTGCGAACATCTCTGCAGTCAGCAAAGAACCTCGACACGTAACTTAATGGAACATCTTTGGAATAGGCCAGCACACAGAACTAGGGTGCCTTCCTGTGTCTTCACGGAGAACCGGAGCGTGGTGCTACGCATCAGCAGACAGTGCTGACGAGTGCAGGCAGAATGATAACAAACACTCTGGCAAGTTCTATTCATAACCATGTGTCCCGTAACTTTCAGCAGAATAACCCATTTAAAACCTCAATCCAATAAACTCATATACCTCAAAGCACAAAATAAGGCCTCTAAAACCATAATTCAGCATTTAAACGGTATAATGTAATAAAAATATATAGTGCATAAAAGATGTTATTTATATAAAAATTAAAGATAGCTGTAAAAATAAATATAATCATTTATTACACTTTTTCCCTGGAAAGCCAGTGCCTGATTTGCCCACAGTAACAGTATTATTTTAAATGAATCATCATTACTCATGATTAAATACACAGTGAAATGACTTTAACTGGGGAAAGGATGAAATGGAAAAATCCATCCTGTGAATAACATTTGAGAAATTGTGGCGAAATTGTGTTTCTGGAGAAATTACGACATTTTTAATCAAGTAATGTAATCCAGTAATATAAACATAATATTGTAGATGCCATTAGAAGTTTACCATCATTTTCTGGGATGATGACACGTTTTAGATTATTCTGAACAACTTGTACGTCTTTCGCATTTATTACCTAAGACTGTTTCGGTGTGATGTGAGCGTAGCCTACTACACTTTAGGCTCCATAACAGAGCGTAGGTGTACAAGGATGGACAGCGATGGGACATTGGGAAGGCTGGGTTACATTTGGCTGTAGGCAAGCAAGAACAATCGCCAAGATGCTGGGATTTTGAAATACTCTGTTACAGTCGACTTGTACTTTTTAGTATTTGCTAAGATTGTAAAAATTGTGTAGATTTTGGAAAACAGCAAGTGACAGGAAAGGCTTGTCAAAACATTTTCTGGGTAAATAGGGAAGATTTCCAAATGAACGCGTCGTGGCAACGAAAGATTATTTACATTGCGGCTGAAACGTCTCATTTGGCTGCCGACTGCTGGCCGCGACACATCTCCGCGTTGGGACACGTGTGACGATCTGACGTCTGTGCGTTATGCAAACAGAGAGATTAAGTGCCTCTGAGGTTGAGACGGTGTTCATCGGCACCTTAAAGATAAACAGCCCAGTTCCGTCTGAAGCAGGTGAACTCCCTTTGCTTCTGTTTTTGTACAATTTTGCTCTGATTCCTTTATAATCCACAGGACCTAAACAGGATGTCTTTGCATTTCTGCTGCCGTGTTTAAAGCAGAACAGCGGTGTTTGCATTACTGTTCTGATTCAGGAAAGACACACGTCTGAATAATGTTAGGCTATATTGCCATTGCTTCCCATCTTTTCTAATAAATCTTTTAAGTTTGCATGTCATTTAATACTCAAATCTTAGGCGTATATCAATAGTTCTGAACTGGGATATAATTTGGCATTAAAATTGATATTTTGTGGAGGTTTTTAAATATGAAAGTAAATTCATGGTACATAATGCAGCTTATGTATTGTCTTTTAATTTTTTTTCTGCTTCCATAAGAACCTCTAAAAGGAAATAAAATAAAACAGCTAATATCACCATATTACTGTAAATGCTTCATAAACAAACTGTATTACATAACATGCATGAACACTGAACCAGCCCTGAGATTTACAGTAAAATTCCACTTGCTTACATGGTGAAGAAATCGTTCTTTACTCTGCTGAGGTCAAAGGGCGCCACCTTATGTGGGGGCGCCGACTGGCCAAGCTAGTTTGGGGGGCACTGGAGGTGATGATCGCCTAAGATGCCATATTAGCAAAGTCTGGCACTGAATTCTCCTATGGAAAAGCTAACTATGCTTGGAAATTATTAAACTAATGCATGTGAAATTTACTTAGTGACAGGAATTAAATTACAATGAACACCACGGACTTCCAGATACCATGTTAGAAACATGTAAATGCATATTTTATGACCTAGAAAACAAAACAGCTGGTATAGATTACTACCAGATTAAACATAAGGGAACAACATGTTTTCCGCTGTTGCAATTACGCAGTTGGTTGCACGCTTCAGTGTCCTTCTTTTCAGTTGTGGTACCCTATGACCATCGACAGTTACTCTGAATGGGACTGCTTAGTATGATAAGCCAACCATAAAACTTAGGAAGTAACAGAAAAGCTTTGACCCCCCATCTGTATGAACCCACATCAATGTATCTAAAAATTAGACCGGTGTTGAATCTATTTCTGTGTGGCCAGTACTACTGAACAGTTAGTAGATCGTATACTTGTGCGGAGTCTCTCATAATCTCAGTTGTGAAGATTTCAAATGTAGGTAGGTACTGTAGGTAGGTAGGTAGATACATGCATACATACTGTAAATAGATAGAAATCTCAGTAACATTTTACTTAAAGCAGTCATTACTATGCATTATAGATACCTTCATAATACACAATAATGCATTCATAAAGTATTATAAACACGGCTATAGCTATTTATGAAAATGCATAACACATGATAGCCATGTTTATTATGCATTATGAATGCTCTATGAAGCTCTCATCTATAATGTGCTATAAATACCTTCATAATGCATTACAATGGTGAGTATAAGCCATTATAATGCATTATGAAGGTACAGTGTACCGAAAAATTTTGTGTGCACTAAAAAAAATGAAATTGAAGATATTGATTGTGAAATTGTATGATTATTTTCCTCAATGCATTGGATATTTCAGCAGTTTTAGCCATGCTGGGACACTCAACTAACCCATTACATTTACATGTTTCTGCTTGTGTGGAGAATGACCAAGGCTACTGATAGAACCCAAGGGCACCCAATTATCTACCTATTTGAATCACTTGCTGTTATGTGTTGTGTTAAATGATCTCTGTTATGACTCCTCCCATTGGTACATATTTGTGCAACTATGAATGGCCAGGCGTACAAATAATTGTTTGAAGGCAATAAATTACATCATTTGAAAACAATTCCAGAATAAGTTTTTCTTGTTTCTTTACATAACCCATATAATTGTAACATTTTAGACAGTTTTAAAATTTGTTCTTCAATATCCTCAATACCATTTCCATTTTTGACCATTTTTCAGTGTACAAAACATTTTTGGCTTCATAGACCGTTGATTAATACCGCATGAAATAGCTAGCTAGATAGATAGATTGATTGATTCACAGAGTTGCTATGACAGCCAGATGTTCAGGACAGCCCTGGAGTCTCATAGAAAAATCTTTCAATTGGGGAACTAGCATCCCTTAGAAATCCACTCTGTGCATTTCGGTGACCATAATGGAAAAATCGATTTGTCGGGGGACCAGTGTCCCTTATCGATCTGCGATATAGTGACCCTAAAGGATGGTCAGTCGCAGCTTTGAGGATTGAGTCCTGATTTTGTCTGTTTACTCTTTGTTTCAAACTAGAGGATCTGTTAGCTCAGGGCATCTAAATCTGGCAAGCCAGGGGAGGTCCATGTTAGGGTCGGGTAAATCATCCAAAAAAACACCTATGTCCTAAAAAGCTTTTTATATTGCCTTTGAAAAACACTTCAAATAGAAACATGACAATCTCTCCCCATTTCTCTTGGGGAGTGTGTCGACCGATGGTCCCACATTCACATGCAGGGTCTAAAATTCAAGGACACCGGCAGCACAGCGGGGGCTGCAGGGAGCCGGTGTGGCAATATGAGAATAACTACCATTTTGTACTCCTTCCATGTCCGCTGGAAGTCCACACTGCCGTTTACTCGGCGTTGGAAGACTGTCCAGCCACCCCCGCTGGTCTGCATGTCGCAGAAAACCTGTGCAGAGGAAACACTCACGATGTCAGAACGGGATGCAGCCAGTGCTACCACAGAGCACAAAACACAGTAGTGGTGTAATGCAGTAAAGACCATTCAGTGCCATTTTACAGAATATATCAAGCATGCATTTTTTTAAAAATCACAGCACATACACTCGGCGCAGCTGTCAAAATTTCAAAAATTGCCCGTCGATGTACTTAAAAACCGAAACATCTAAAAACCTTGCTCGACGGCCCATTCCCACCTTGGTTGGCTCCGTGGCGTTGCTGTCAGCGTATATGTGGTACACGCCGCTCGTATTATAACCTGCCTTGTAGATCTCGGCACAGTCCCGAAATCTCAGCTGCCTCCAGTGTGGCGCTGTGGGAAGGAAACGTCAAGCACACTCTTCAGGTGCATGGATCGCTTTAATTGACCTTTTTCTTATCTCGTAAAAAATGATTCTCCATTTTCACTGCTGTTCTGTATAGACGTGCCAGTCTTCCTGCTTCCTGCATGTGCTTTACAAATAAATATATGTTGGCAGTTGTAGCCACACTCTTCAAGCAGAGCAACCTGAAGGCTAGAGATCAAAGTATGTTGGGGGTGGGGGGGGGGTGCTTTTCCACATTTTTGGTTTAGAATCTGCGTAAAGATGCTGGCAGGAATAATAATAATAAAAAAACCTCTTCCAAGTGTTTCCAAATTACTATACTAAAACGAATTTTAAAAATCAATATCAATACCGAGAGGATGTTCATATTCCAAAACAAAAACTAGTGGCCGTGCAAAGCAATCATTATAAATTTAGCACCCCGTCCAGCATGGTTGGCTTACAAAAAAGTACATTGTATCTTTGATTGTAAACCTAATGTAGACATTAATACACAGCTGGCTAGTTTATTATGCCTGTTTGAAGTGATTGGGGTATAAGAAACACAAACAGTCCTTAATTCATTTATCTTCAAACAACTTATCTAGTACAGGGTCAGACGGGAACGCGCTGGATAGGACGTCAGCCCATCACAGGACTCACACGCACACAGCGGGCGGGGGAACGCGCTGGATAGGACGTCATCCCATCACAGGACTCACA